AAAAAAAAAAAAAAAGAGGAGGAGAGGGGAGGGAGGGAGAGAGGGAGGGAGAGGGGAGGAGGGGAGGAGGCAGGCAGGAAACTTCTGTGTGTTATTTACATTGGGAAAGAGGGGAAGGAAGGGTGTTTGTGCCTCTGCCTGTGAATGAATGAGAAAGAGGAAGGGAAGGAAAGAAAGGGAGGGAGGGAGGGAGTGAAACACACACAGAGCACTGAAAGGAGGCTCTGTCCCCTAAACCCAAGTAACCCGTTTTCAAGAATTGGATGCTGGAAAAATGGTAAGGACCCGGAGTTGAAAACATTTTCACTTTAATACTGAAAAAATATGCCATTATAAAATCCTCGAATAGAATTAGTAAGTTTCACTTGCTTCCTCAGTTCTGTTTTCCTCAAATTATAGTAAGATTTACAACAGCACAGAATTTTCTACCATTAAACTTAGCAGCCTAAGCGCTAGAGTGACATTAATTGGTCATGCTTAACTGCCTTGGATTTTTTTTTTTTTGTATGTTTACACTGTTACCATAATAGAAATCAAGGGTACTAATTTTTACATTCAGATGGAAAGGCAATACTGATTATGCATATTGAAAAAGAAGAGAGAGAAAACAAAACCAAAGCCTACCCTCCCCACCTCCCCCAAAAAACGAAACACAACCCATTATCAACAAAGCAAATCTCTCTCAGCAAAGTAATTCCCACCTAGACATAAAAATAAAAATTAAAAAAAAATTCCAATGAGAATATTCATGCAACTATGTCTTAAATAAAATCTTTACATTTTTTTTTTTTTCCCACGGTAAAAGTACGATCTCTACTGCCTATTGATCACACACAAAAAAAAAAAAAAATAAAACTGGCGAAATGGCACTTTTTATTATTATACTGTATTTTGTATATAGAAGGTTTGATACGAAGGGACTTATCAGGTAAGAGGGATGATGGTGTGAACTAGACGCTGCTTCCAGTCGGGGGCTGGAGCGTCCCTGGGGTGCGTTGTATCCATGCGAGCCATGCAGCACTTTTTTTTTTTTTTTTTTTTTTTTTTTTTTTTTTTTTTTTTGTCCATTTGTCTGTTTGTTTCAGAGCTGGAGTCATTTATTTACATTACATTCATGCCTTCGTGCAACTTTCCACTCCTGCTTTGCCGTCAGGAGGAGGCCAATACCAGTCCTCTGCCCCCCTCGTTTCCCCGGCCCCTTGGAAAGGGGTCGGTCCACAAGAGAAGAGGGCAAAAAAACCGAATCAAACCCCAACACAATTGAACAGAAGCCCAACAAAACCAGGAGCCGTGTTCCACCCTGCCGGAGCCGAAGGAAGCTGTTCCTCGTCTGTCTGTCGCTGCCCCGGCCGCTCATGGGCAGGGGATGCGCGCTCCGCGCCAGGCTGCGCGGCGCTGCAGGGATGCGCTCCGGCGCCGGGCTCCCCTCGCCGCCCACTGGGCCTCGGCGCTTGCTGGGGGGGTCGTGAGGAAGGGCGTGC